TAAAAGTGCTGGTGATTTATTTAATCGAAAAAAATACTGTGTATTACTGTAATACTAAATATGTACTGTATATTGAAATATTTATATTAAAATACTAAATGTGTACATTAAAATACTAAATATGTAAATTAAAATACTAAATATGTATATTAAAATACTAAATGTGTATATTAAAATACTAAATAAGTAAATTGAAATACTAAATATGTAAATTGAATTACTGAATATGTATATTGAAATGCTAAATGTATTTATTGAAATACTAAATGCATTTATTAAAATACTAAATGTGTATATCAAAATACTAAATGTGTATATTAAAATACGAAATGTGTATATTAAAATACTAAATAGGCTGTATATTAAAATACTGTAATACTGTAAAATACTGGCACAGATGTGTATAGGTCCATGAAAGATGATATTTTTCGGAGACAAGTTGGCAAATTCTTGATTTTTTCAGAGCTCGAAGGAAGTGAATTTTAATTCTTTACAGTCACATGAAAGCTGTTCACCTGAAAAAATATAAGGAATCATAAAACCTTTGATAGGTAATAAAGTGAATTTCATTGTTATGCTTTCCTCATTTTAACAACCGAAGCTCACTGAAGAAAAAAAAACCTTTGAATATCCTTAGTTAAATTTTTCAGAACGTCTTTTTTTGTCAATGTACTAGATGGAAAATGTTGATTTTTGCTTCTAATTATAAGTCATATCATTTACCATTCCAGAAAGAAGAGGTCCATGAATGACTCGTTAAAAAAAAAACCGTATGACCCGAATTTTTATGTGGAGTAAACTGGCTCTTCAGATAAATTAATTCTGCTTGACGACACTTTTTGGTGAAATGCACTCCCCAGAAATGCATAAATTTCAAAAAGTATATGAAAACGTAATTCGTAAATGTTCTTCTTAGAAAGATGATAAACCTTGAAATATATGAGGAAAAAATCATGCAACCTAGGACAAATTTCTGGCTCATGGTAAATAATGAAGAATTTTTGGACCCCCTATTTTTGCAGT